AAATTATTAATCTTATTTATAATTTAGAATCTCTTTATTTAGTTATTGTATTATTTATATTTTTGAATATATTTTTTTAATTATTATATCATATATAATCTAGAATCTATTGAAGAGGTTTTTAATAATGTATGACTTTTTTTATGACGAATATTTTATGATCAAGTGACAAATGCTCTACGTATTATACGTTATTGATTATAAATTTTATCAAAACAAATATAGCCCGTGGATCGCACGGGTTACATACTAGTTTTAAAAAATAACAATAATAAAATTATAGGATTTCATATTATAAATATTATTTTTACTAAACTATATGAAGTACTGTTGACCGATCAAACATTATGTTGCCTTATACCATTATTTGTGAAGTACGGGTTTATTCATTAGATGAATCGACCCGTCAAACTTTTTTTTTGGTATAGAGACCTTTCGGTTTTCGGATCCACAGGGCAACCGACTAATCTGGAATCGAGCCGGGTAGGACCACAAGGGCGGCAAAGCTCTCCCTCAAGAGTTTTAACACTGCTGCATTCCCAAGGCTCGAACACGAGACCACTGGTTAAGCTGGAAGAGACCCGTCATACTTTAAACAAAATAAAAAATGCGTATTTGTATTATGAATATATAATATTATTCATTATATTATGACATTTCACTAATTAAGTATGCTATCGTTTGCTCAAGAAAATATATTAATTTACCTAATTGTTAAACCCAACAATAACCTTGCTAATACAAACTTAAGTTTAAAAAAATATCACTTCACTCACCTATCAACAATGAACTCTATGATATATTTCGTGCACTTAATTTTTGAGAATCACAAATCTGAACTCATTACAAATAAGAGATTACAACAAATGGAGTAATCATGTTGATGGCAAGATCTCATAATTGGCATTCAAATGGAGTAATCATATTGATGATGACAAGATCTCATAATTGGCACTGAAAGAATCGGCAAAAACGAGTGCGGTCTCATAATGCACTTGAAGTATACCGTAAGAGAGTGAGTCCAGGTACACCTAACTAAAATTCAATCTCAACGCCTTAGGTCAGGCAAGCGCGCATAGCAGACTGGGTAAAAAAAGTAAGTCATCACATGTTCTAGGTCAGGCCCGCTATGAAAGAATCAGGGGAAAATCAATTGTAGGAGGGTGAGCCTAGGTACACCCTTTCATCCTAAAACTATTTGGTGAGAGCATCTACAATGCATTGAGTCTAGTATTGTCAATGTGGCATGCAAATAAACTCAAGTCTTGGATGACATGAATAAAATTATGTAAAATTAACAAAGTCCACTCCAATGCAAAGAGACTAGGTCTCTACTTGGGTCTAAAATGGACTTAAGGGTGGACTAGTTCTCTTTTTCTGGCTGCCACATCAGCAGGACCCAGTCTACTTTTATTTGCATTATAGAATATATTTTTTTGGACC